TTTTTTTTTTTTTTTTTTTAAGAGACAACTAGTGTGGCTTTAGTTTGGTAAGTGAGGGAGAGAACAGTATGGGAGAAAGAAGATTAAAATAGGTAGGGGAGAACTCATAGAAGGTCTTATAAGTCATAGTAAGGAGCTTAGGTTTTATCCTGAGGTCAATAGAAGACCTTTGGGTTTTCAGCAGGGGAGTAACATGATGCAATTTGCATTTAAAAAAATATCCTCTGTCTTCTGTCTTATGATGTAAGTCAGAGGTTCTCAATTGGGAGGTGATTTTGTTCTTCAGTTATACTTGGCACTATCCAGAGACATTTTTGTCTGAGAGGGAACATAGAAAGTACTATGAGATCTTGTGGGTCAAGACCAGAGATACCACCAATATCCTATAATGCACAGTTCAGGCACCTCATCTCTCTGCCAACGGCAGTGAATCCTTATACCCAAAATGTTCATAGTACCAAAACTGAAAAACACTGAATATCCTAGCAACTTGAAAAACTAGAGCATGGTCCATTAGGAAAGCACCCCAGTTATTCATGGCACATTGTGGAGAGGCCTAAGAAACGCTCCTAGGAGAAGGTTAGAAGTAGTGTCTGTAGAGGAAAGTGTTATGTTGCACTTTGAAGAGCCCTCTGTCCCTGTTTTCAATAATTTTTGTGATATTTACCCCAGGAGGACAAAAAGGTTCCATCTTAGCAGGATATAAATGACCCTGATTGTATGGAACCCTTTGTGAGTTAAGGCACACACTATTTCCAGGCTCTATGCTAAGTCATCATTCATGTTTCTTCATTTATAATTCCAGGGGAGTATGCTGGGCTATTTCCTAGAACATGCGCTCAGGCCAGGAAAAATGTTATGGAGGCTACCCCAGTGTTTCTGCCTCATAAAAACTCTATAAATGAATAATTGGCCTTTGGAATTTTAGCGTTTGGCCAGCTTTCTAATTCTTTTTAATATGACATACTGTGCATTATATACAGATGCTCTTTTACCATTTTTTTAAATGAACAAGTACTTTAACAATGTTCCTTATTACTATTTTAATTACAAGATTTGTGCTTTATGTAATAAATGAAATGATTCAAAGCTATTTAAAATTTTTTAAATAACTTGTCATCACTCCTTTCCATTTCCAGCCTCTGAAAAATAACTGTCAGAAGCATGGTATGTATCTTCCAAACCTTTCCCTTTAACTGCTTTTGTCCCCCTTCTTTTCGTTTTCTTTTTCTTGCGGGGGGGCATACTGGGGATCAAACTCAGGACCTTGTGCTTGCAAGGCAGGCGGTGGGACCACTGAGCTAAATGCCCACCTCCCGCTTCTTAATAGTACATGGAAGACTGCTTTGAACATGACACTGGAAAAGCCAAACACCTTGTTTCTGCATGATTGATTCTCCAGGAGGGACACAGGAGCTGGGTAGCTGCTTCTTTTTGTCTTCATCTCATAAGAGGATTTCTTCCTCCAGATTTTATTTATTCATATTTCAAAGCCAAAGTTCAAAGAGATACTCATAGACCACGGAAACGTCAAGGCCAGATACCTGGAGGAAAAAAAAGATATTGCCATACATACTGTTTTACAGGTCCCACAGCTCTAAAATGATGCTGTTTGTTAAAGATGCCTATTTTTCATAATTCTTAATGTACCTGCGTTTTATTTGTGTGATTCATACTGTGTGTCATTCTGTCCTCACAGTATCCTCTCTTGGAAGCTCCTAGAGAACATGGTGCTGCTGTACATGTGATCTATTATGTAATGCTAAGCACAATGTGTGTGCAGTAATGAGTGAAGAGCGGTACTAGTCCTCCATTCCAACCCAAGAAAGCCTTTAATGGCTCAGCCTAATAACCCATTGGATTTATTGTGCTAGGTGATTGTTGTGACTTACCCCCATTTGTAGCCAGTCAGGTTACTTTGAAAAACTAGATAAAATGTACCGAGTATAAATCCTTCTAAGACATCAGCACTTCTCTCATTCTCTTCTATTTATATAGCTGAGGGCAATTTACAAAATTGATCACATATATTTACTGTCTGTTCTGTTAGAAATACTTGAAATGAAAAAAAAATGATATTGATAGGATACTCTTTCCCTGGACTACAAAAGTCATAGGAAAAACCAGGAGTCCGGCCAGCAAGGTATTTGGCTCAAGTCCTTGTCTAGATTTTCCATAAATCCTGTTCATTCTTTCTTTTACTCCCACCTTAGTGTGGTAAATACAGGCATCCAGGCCCTGGATACTTGACCTGGCCTTTACTAGTTTAAGTAACGTTTACCTCTGCTCCTGCCAATAGCCTGAGTCCTTTCCATTCTAAGTGTTCTGTGAGTTAGAATTACATGGCTTCAAGTAGGAACTACTGTGGTATAGAATATTTTAAAATTATTTTTAGAATATTAAAAGTGTTTCTTCATTGTCCAAGAAAGCCATGAGGTCTATCTTTTGTTCCTCTGCACGTGGACATCTCTGTGGCTTCTTTTAGGGTTATAATCATTGGTTTAAATGATTTGATTATGATGTGTCATAGGGTCATTTTCTTCATATTTCTTATGTTTTGGGTTCATTGTACTTTTTATATTTTTAATGAAATTTAGAAATTTGAGGTTATCATTTCTTCAATTTTTGTTTTCTTTGTCCTCGCCACAGATGTCAGTTATAGGTCTCTTAGGCTATTTGAAGCTACCTCACATCTCACTGGTCCTCTGTTTTTCTTTTTTGTTTGTTTGTTTGTTTGTTTGTTTTTTAAATATTTTTTGGTGTTTCACTGAATAGTTTTTATTGTCTTCAAGTTCATTAATCATTTTTCTTCATTATCTGATTTATCATAAAAGCCATCCAGTGTGTTCTTTTTTTTAAATTTAAATTGAATTTATTGGTACATTCTAGGTAGACAGTACAGTTACATTCATTACTGGGATCTTGTACCCTTTACATACCGGGTCTTGGTTCTCATTTTTTCCCCTTGTCCCC